CTGAGGATGGATGTGAGGCATTCTCGAAAATTAAAAAAAAAAATCGAGGGTTTGAAAAGACTAATTTTATCAGATGCTCTAACTTATTTGATAGGCTAGTCTTTAAATTTCTTGCGTTTAGTTTTCGAGAATAAGGCCACTAGACTACTTATGAAACCTTTTTGATAATTACACCTAATTATTTATTCATCCGTGGGAATACACGGCAGCTCAATGGGTACTTAGAATGACTTGACATTTATTTTGAACATTTTTCAGGTCTTGTGTTTGTCTGTCTGTATTGGACACATCAACATGAGCCAAGAAGAAGTTTACACCAATGTCAATTTGGCCATTAACTTTTTGGTTTCCCTTTTGAAGAAGAATTGGCAGAACGTGAGAACTCTACACATCAAAAGTTCCATGGGACCTGTCCAGAGAATTTATTAAATCTTTAATAAAGATGGCATGAATTCAAATGTGTTATTTTTACTTCCAATCATTCACAAGCTTTGTGAACCCATGTCCACAAACTCTTACTGTACATCTTGAACAAATACCTACACATCTATTCAGAGATTTCATTGGATTGTACACCAATTTGGAGCCCTGTACAGGACTTGGAACATAATTCCATAGTATAGTATTTTTGTCCCACTAATTTGACTGGAGGGTGTGGGGTCTCGTGTATGTTGGCAATGTTCTGGGATTCCTGTCTTGGCCTATTTAATGGTATTTGATTATCCAAGGTGTTGAATGAAGACTTACTCTGCATGTACCACCTCCACCTATTCTGGAAAAGTTCTTGTATGATTCTTGCGTACCAAAAACGCTGTTTGTTACTGTGATACATTTGATCATGTCTAAAGATCAATACCCACAAACCGCATTTGATGAGCTTGCGATGATCATTACCAAATTAGATGCCCTTGTAATCATTACCTATATACAGCATTTGATGCACGTGATATAATCAATACCTATATACAGCAATTGATGCACATGATATAATCATTACATATATACAGCATTTGATGCACGTTCACTGATCATTACCAAATTTGATGCCCTTGTAATGATCAATACCTATATACAGCATTTGATGCCCATGTAATTCTCAATACCTATATACAGCATTTGATGCCCATGTAATTCTCAATACCTTTATACAGCATTTGATTAATGAGCAATGATTATCAATATACAGCATTTGATTCATATCCAATGATCATTACCAATATATAGAATTTGATGCATATTCAGTAATCATTAACAATATACAGTATATGATGCATTTGCAATGATCATTATTGATATACAGCATTTGATGCAAATTCAGTGATCATTATCGATATACAGTATTTGATGCAAATTCAGTGATCATTATCGATATTCAGTATTTGATGCAAATTCAGTGATCATTATCGATATACAGTATTTGATGCAAATTCAGTGATCATTATCTATATAAAGCAATTGAAGCATGGCAATGATCATTACCAATACACAGTATTTGGTGCATGAACTTGTGTAAAAATTATTCAATATTTAAAATAATGAAGTGAATCTAGTTTTATGTCCTACTTTTCTGGACCATGTGGGCTAATGAAGATAGGTATTAAATAATAAATAACACAACCAATTTATATTATTTTGTCATAAATATAGTACAAAATTATATTAGTACAAAATAATATTCTTCATTTCCTAACTGAACAACCCTGAATGCATATTCCATTCAAATCCCATCCCATTATTATGCTATATTCACAGACACAGAAAGTCAGTATCTAAAGGAATTGTCTGTGATTTGACAATTTTGTCACAATAACAAGAAGGTGTACATCCTGAACAATAGAGAAATTCTACAATCTGCGACTATACGAAGATAGGCAAGATGCGAAGTTTCGTATGGAAGGTGTATTTATATATCGTACGCAAGGGAAGATTTGGTTAACATATTGATGATAAATTATTATTGATAGACCAAGTTCCATATCCTTTATTTTCCGTGATCAAACTAAATAATATTGTCTCCAATATTACCACACTCCACAAGAAAGGGTATTAATTATTTAAAACTGATAAACCAGGCTGATATTGATAAGATGGTGGTGTGAAATTGTCTTCTGGTATACCAGCTAATACATCACCAGTCATTGCAGCTGTAACCTGAAAAAATGTGTTGAAATCTTGTCAAAAATCCAACTGGCTAGATTTAGGTTATCAAACAGTATAGG